CCCCAAAACCCCAAAACCCCAAAACCCCAAAACCCCAAAACCCCGAACTAAGCATGCTAAATAACTAAAATTAGAGGCTAATAATTAGACATAATAAAAAGGAGGTTATCCGAGTCTTTTATATTTTGACTTGAATTTTAGAAAACTTAGGAGAGCCTATCTACCTTACCAAAACAAAGACATATGCTTTAGAGAGCTAAACACAACATTTTGATATTATTTGAAAGAATCAGTTGTTTAGGAATAATTTAAAGATTGGAAATACAACTCTAAATCCTTCTTGGAGGGCTACTCATGGACACTTGGACGGGCAATCATGGGCTTCGGCCTCATCAGTGATTTTGTGATGGAATCAAACTCGTACTCGGATAATTCAGCAGCTGTGAGGTCTATGTTATCATCTTCGTCAATGAAGATAGGCGTCTTTTTCACCACATCACTGATTGATCTAAATAATAAGGAGGTTGAGAACTGAAATATGCCGCATTTCTTTCGAAAAATGAAAAATTTCTTACTTGTGGAGAGCAATTTTTCCGAGCTTTGAATCCTCAAATATTTTTCCATCAGATTTAAGGATCTCAATTGAGTCTTCTAATTCAGGATTCCTACATTCCATTTTGGGTGGGTTAGGCTCGTCGAAAGGGTTTCTAAGTCCTGAAGAGGTATTTATCTTATTTCTGCGATATATTCATTGATGCTAATCGAAAATTATCAGAAAAGTACCTACTCTCTAAATGACTTGTAAATGTTGAATATCTTTCAAGTCCCTGGGCATGGCAGGAGTCATCATCTTGGACAATACATAAAGGACTCTCTGGCTCTCAATCATCTACAATCGAGCTTGTCTTGAGTAAAACAGGGCATAACTTGCTTGAATTTAATCTGACATGGTCTTGCTTGAGGTCAATTTTAGGTGAACATTCCACATCAAATTTGAAACAATCTCTAATATCTTGATAATTTATGAGCTCATCATTTGCGTATGACATTATCTTCTTGAAAGGATCAACAAGTATTTCAGGCAGACAGTTGATGATCTGCTTGTCAGTGACTCTGGACTTGAATTCAATGAAGTCATTGACTTCGCTGAAACACTCCTCCACAACTTCTGAGTCCCAAGGAAGTTTAAACCCTAGCTCAGTTGTGAGAAGGTAAATTAAAGACTCTAGATCATGCTTTGGGGAACAACTGAAGACTAGTTTGCCTGCTTTGTTGTCTATAGAACTTTATTAGCACATGGTTAAATGTTTCAGAAATATTTCGAGAGAATTACCTTGTTCCATTCTGGCGGAAAAGAAAATGGTTCCAACGAATTTTAGTCCACCTGGGAATGGATCATCTTGATCTTTCTTCCCAACAAACTTTCAGTAAGAAAAATCAAGCAGCTGAGGCGTTCCATCCTCGGTGAACATAATATTTTCAGGCTTGATATCACAATGAATAATATCTTTTAAATGAAGGATTTCAAGTGCATCGATTAAGTTAATGGCAAGACTGCCAATGAATTCCTCACTTATTTGCCACTCAAGCTTCTCGAACATCTCCTTCAGGGTATACTTGCACAGTGACATTCAGATACCATTACTGCCTTCAATTTTTATATACTTGATATCCTTCGGGAAGAACTGGATCTCATCAGAGTCGTCATCAGAGTAAACTAAAATTTATTTCTGAAGGGATTTCTCACTTACTCTTTTTATAAACTTTTCTTTCGGTGGCGTAATAATTTGGTTTCTTATACTACACACAAAGTTAAGCCAGAACCGAGAATAGACACACAAAAGGAGATTTATAAAAAAGTAAGTGATAGTAAGTCGTACCATCTTGAGGGCGTAGAGTTTTTCGTTGATTTCAACCTTGAATACTTTCGCCTGACCGCCTTCTCCAAGTCTGCTAAGGATCTTCATCTCTTTCTTCTCCTGTGATGGGTCATCTTGGTCAATATATTCCCTATGTTTATGAGTAAATGACGAATTGTTGAACCTACTTTATCATATTTATAAATATATATTAAATTCAAACAATTTTGACATTTTGGGGTTTTGGGGTTTTGGGGTTTTGGGGTTTTGGGG